CTCCTCATATTTCATGTAAATAGTGGTTGCCCATGGATTATCATGACAATGAGTGGGGATGCATCAAAAAATTGCTAGAATTGTCACTATTTACTTACGTGAATAGTGTTTGTTCTTATCCTTTGTCATGGCACAGTTGGGCGGAAGTTATCAGAGTCGGTCCAATTAATTTATAGCTCATTCTTTGTCCTGGAAATTAAAATAATAATGCCGAAAATCCACAGTGGTCCAAAAACAAAAGTCATAATCCACATAACAGAGAAGGGTTTGCTATTTGACACGCGTAATCACGAGGCCACCAAGCTCGCTACCCAAGCGCCAATTGGTCCGGTTTTAGCAGCCCATTTCCTGGATGCTGGCGTTGGAAACCATCGCAATTGGCATTGCTGTACATGTGGGTTGCTCATGACTCATTGAGCCAACACAAATTGTCGTTATGGCCCATCTAGACTTAAATGGGCAGGACAAAACATGGGCCTTCTAATTGTACACAAAATATGGGTCTTGTGGTTGTACCCAGCTAATATGTATTTTTTAGAGAGTCATTCTACAGTGAGGGCCTTATTTATAGCCCTTAGATGAGGTATTATCTCTTAACCATTGGATTAGGCTAATCAATTTGATCCAATAGTTAAAAAATAAGGCCTCACCTAAGGGCATGACTATAGAATTCTTAATTTTCTAAATTTATATATATAAAGCAAGAGTGCTGCTAAACGAACCCTAAAATTAACTAAGTACACCCTACTATCAAAGTATTTATTGGATTACTAATTTACCCTAATATAAAATGACTAAAAAGGATATATATGAATTGTGAAACATGACACCACATATTTTTAGGGTGTACTTAGATCATAAGGTGTACTCAGTTAATTTTAGGGTTCGTTTAGCAGCACTTTTTAAAAACCATCTAAAACATGACACCACATATTTTTCCCTACACTTCTCTTCTTCTCCATCTTAGCATTTGGACAACCGAACTCTTTTATCTCTCAAAACCAAGCCTAGCAGAGCCTCTTCTCCTTTCAATCACTCTTCTTCTCCAAACTTATAATTTTTTCATTTTTCTCATCTTTCAATTCAGAAAATTCCCTAAAATATTTGAAGCTCCTTGTAAAAACTTGTTTTCTCCAATTTCCCTCCTCAAAAGTAGCCACACCAATCATATTGGGGCTTATATCAGCAAGCAAGGCAATCAGTTTTTTTTTTTTTATCTGTAAATATTTTTTTCCTTTTCTTTTTCCATTTAAGAGGAGGAGGAAACGATTTCCTTCCTTGAATTCAATTATTATCCAATTCTCACACATGAAATAGTTTTTAGAATTCTAGGGTTTAGGTAATTACCTTTATAATGGAGATTCACATACATTATTAATTTTCAAATCACGAACAAAATAACCTTAAAAAATTCAAAAATTAAAATAACCTTAAAATATTGAAACAAGAAACAAAAATTAAAATTCAAGAAAATTCAGAAGTACCATTATTTGATACGCATACGTATCACCACATATATATGATATCCCTCAATGTCAATACAGTGGGGTCTTTTATCTATGTATATAAAGCAAAAGGCAGAGAATGGTGAAACATTCAAAAACCCCAAATATGCCCTTAGTTAATGCAAATATTAAGAATTCAATTTATTAATTAAATGAGGATAATATGGTAAATTCACACTTTTTCATATTTAAATAAAATTAAAATTAAAAGAAAAATCAAATAATGGATCCTATTTTAATGGAACACAACTACCCATTATCTTTTTTAATTCTAAAATAAATTTTAAAATTGTAAAAAAAGGCCTCTCGCAAAGATTCTTCCAAGACTGCTCACACACACTAAGCTCATAATGGGCATGATTGAAACCTGCGGTGGTGTTAGGCAACAATCCATCCTTGGCCAAAACGACAAGCTGATAGTTCTGGCCCGCGACTATCTGGGTGTCTCCACGGATGACCCTCTCAACCACCAACTTCTTGTGGGTTCGCAGAATATTGTACATGGACACCGCGAACTCTGCCATCAACTTCAGACGAGGGTCGCCGATGTTCTCTTTGGGTATGGGCTTAAAACCGCCGGGCATAGGCCACGGAGGAGTAGCAGCCACCAGCATCAGAGGAAGGAGGAGGCCAATCAGTGCTAGGAGGAGCCAGTGAGAACGCATCTTCAGTCCGCGCGCTTTCTTTTTCTCTTTTTTCTTGGTTTGAGTTGAGTCTCAGTCGAGGGATGGACAAGTTACGTTGGTTCCTTCCGTTATATATATTGGTGGGTTGGTGCTTAAGTTGGACGTGGACAAAAATGTAAATGGAAGGTTACAGAAATTTATGGCATAATTTGGAGATGAAGTCAGAAATTTGAGGTCCAAAATTTGTGGAAATTGGATGTATTGAGTTACGACGGGGAGTAATTCAGTTTCTTGTTTATTTAGGGAATCATATTGGGGCTTATATCAGCAAGCAAGGCAATCAGTTGTTTTTTTTTTGGGTGGTCATGAATCAAAGATTTCATTGAAAAAAAGATAGAGACTACAGATAGCCTAACCTTGTCAACCCCTGACTGAGAAGGCAATCAGAGTTGTTTTTTGGTTTTAAATATTGGATTCATTAAATAAATAAAAAATTATGAGAACGTTTTTGTATCATTAGTTAGATTTAGGATATATCAAAAAGAACAATATTGTCCAGATTGTACAGTTAAAAATTTTGAGAATCAAAGTACGGAGAAAAAGGGATCATAGGGAGATCGATGAATGTTGTTGGTTTTTTTTTTGGCAAGATAGAGTGTATTAGGGTGTACTATGGGTATTTTTGGTAGTTAAATAGAGTGTATTTAGTTAATTTTACATTTTAATTTAAATATTAGGGTGCACTTAGATCATAGGGTGTACTCAGTTAATTTTAGGGTTCATTTAGCAGCACTCTAAAGCAAAAGGCAGAGAATGGTGAAACATTCAAAAACCCCAAATATGCCCTTAGTTAATGCAAACATTAAGAATTCAATTTATTAATTAAATGAGGATAATATGGTAAATTCACACTTTTTCATATTTAAATAAAATTAAAATTAAAAGAAAAATCAGATAATGGATCCTATTTTAATGGAACACAACTACCCATTATCTTTTTTAATTCTAAAATAAATTTTAAAATTGTAAAAAAAGGCCTCTCGCAAAGATTCTTCCAAGACTGCTCACACACACTAAGCTCATAATGGGCATGATTGAAACCTGCGGTGGTGTTAGGCAACAATCCATCCTTGGCCAAAACGACAAGCTGATAGTTCTGGCCCTCAACTAAATGGGTTTTTAACTGTAGAGGTCCGTAAACTTTACTTTGAGTTTCAATTGAGTCATGTAACTTTTTTTTTTAAGCAATAAGGTCATCCAACTTTCTCATATGTACCAATTGAGTTGTTCCGTCAAATTTTGTTAGTTTGACCATCAAATTGAGGGTTAAAACAACCCATTTCAACTAAAATATTAATAAATAATTAAAAATTAAAGTAAAATATTATAAAGTTTAAATTTTGAAAACCCTAGTGATAAAATTAAAATATGTAAATCCCCATGAGAAATATGAAAGAAGAACCTGATTAGAAAGTGAAAAGGAGATAGAGAAAATTGTAGCTCAAACATCAAAATGAGATTAATTATCAACTATTGGTGAGAGAATAGAAGCACCAATAATATATAAACTATGTAAAGTCGGTTTTAGTGTTTGTTAATATGCAAGTGGGTTAAAAAGTATGGTTTTGGGCCTTCTCTCTTGTATTTTTATTCATCTTAGAAATATAAAACATATATAATAATAAAAAGGGTGCGAGAGGGAGAGAGCCCAATCCGTGATTGCCAGCTCTTAATACGTTTACCAGCTGTGTGACAAACCTCATTATGATGCAAGTGAAAGAAGACACATCTGCCTACAAGCATATTATTCCAATGAAATTATAGAATATAGCATCGCAAGCGCAATCCAGCCAGAGCTAAAGTGGCAATGCATGCTTGTTTAGTTTAGTTAATTGAGGGTTAATTTTGTCCATGTAGGGCAATGCATTTGGGATGCATTTTTTTATTGTTAAGACGAGGTTCTTCAGTCAACAAGGGAAAAGTTACACATAGAAATGGAATGATCTTTAGTATTATAATCAATATGAGCAGTAACTGCGACACGTTATTTTTTATTGCAATTCATTATTCAGATTGACAGTCCGATCAAGATAATTAACATGACAAATTAACAAAATAAAATACTCATAAAAATAATTTCAGGTTTCTCCATTCTTAAAAATATCAATCATTACAAAAGTATACACCAAAAGTAAGTTTAATTTATGACAATGATACCCAACTGTTGTTTATGCTTTTCTGTAAAGCGGCAACTTCTGTTTTATGCTTTGGATCCACACTAACACATCTACTAAGCGTTTTAAACCAAACTGAATTAAACTAATAACCGAATTAAAAAGCTTAATCATTCTCTCACCCGTGACACACAGAAACACTATCCCGTGAATTCCCATCTGCCACGTGCCCCGCTCTGGATGCTTCCATTCATGTATTGAGCTTCAGCAAAATCGGCTTATAGCTGCATGTGAAATTTTGGTTTTGGAACTTTGATACAAAACCCTTTTCTTTTCACACTTCCATCGAGTGGTTTGGTATGTCCCACAAGCTTCCAACCTACAACAGCGTGACACGTAGGCATGCCCATGTGGTTAGTCGACCAACAGCGTGAGGCGAGTGCAAAATGGGACAGTCGTACGTGTCAAAGCTGAAAACCACAAATCAGCCCAATCTCACAATTTCAAAAAGTGCGGCACAAATTTTTGTCACAAAGCCTCTCATTAGCTTTGAGCTCACCCGTGAGAGTTGGCACGTGAAAGACTAAGACAAACACATGCGCCTTATATGCACGTACACAATCCATGCTTCCAAATTTCCACTACAAAATCTAACCTCTATAAAAGCGACCTCCATACTTGCATTTTACAAAGCTAAGTCATGCACTTGCAATGCAGTCTAATTAGGTAGCACCACCTTACGTTATGTTACAAATAACCTCATTGGCTTAATTTCATAATTTGCATGGTGGGAGGAAGAAGCGTAATCGAGCATCAAACGAAGAATCAAGCATTCCAAGCAATCAGGTGAATACTTGTTGTTTGTTGTAATGTGATAGTTCAAAAATGTATTTCTAATTGTTCGATATGTTATATTGTGAGATTGTTAAACATAATTGGTTGAGTAAAATTCTCTTTAACATAGCATGTTAACCTGGCTAGGCTATGGTTACCGATAATTAGCAAGCTTTTTGCGGTTTAAGTAACGTCACTTGAGGCATAGAAGTTGGTTTGGACATTAGGTTTATGGATCAGAGCTGGCTAGATAACAGTGAGGGTTTGAATGGACCCGTGAATGGTTTTAACATTGTTGTCGGGAACCTACTACATGCTTTCCTACTTCGATGGCCACAACCACAAAAAGAGCAAAACAACAATCAAGAGTCACGAGAGGGTTATTGCTTTTACATCAAAACCACATTCACCCAATCTCCTCTCAGTCCTTTCCTATTGCAGCTATATTTTATTCTCTCATCTCATCCCTACATTCCAAAAAACCTTACAAAAATCACTCTCTCTTCTTATCTCTATGTCACATGAATATTTATGACATGACATTTACGTGTAAAATTCCCTGAGATGACAGAACAAAGCATCTCAAACAGAATTTGACTATTGATTAGTTATTTAATGATGCGGTTAATTAACTAGAGTAATTAAAGAGAGTCTGATATGACAAGTATTTTTTGTTGAAGATAGTTTATACATACATACCAGAGAAAATATATGCATTAATAGAAGGTTATAGTTGTCCATATCTGCTAAAGATATATATAGCTTTCATTAAGGGATCCCTCAAATAAGACACCCTTGTAGGGCTCATTACGTATTGTATTTCACTAATCTAAACCGTCTATTTTATAGATATTCATTCAAAATTCATCTATACAAAAAAATCACTTGAATCCGATATCATTTGACTACTCAATTGAATTATTGAAATTTTAGTACTTTCTTCAAGCACCGTGTTCATTGATTTTATAAGATACAATTGAATGTCGAACCAATTTCGATTTGTCTAATTTTTTGCAAGGATGATCTATGAATGTATACTTAATAGATGGTTTGGATTATTGAAAAAAAAATCGTAGAAGACCTTAAAGGGTGTGTCTCAAATTTTATTTGAGGGATTCCTCAATAGAAATAGAAAGTGACTATACATTTGGCCCTAACAAACATATTTTGTACATTATATGTTTGATCAGGCAGTGAACTATTTTTGTACTTCCGTTGAGCCCTAACAAACATATTTTGTACATTATATGTTTGATCAGGCAGTGAACTATTTTTGTACTTCCGTTGAGCGAAAAAGTATATAAAACTAAATCTTAATGTTAAAATTTGTAGGTCCCATTTTTCCATGTAATAACTCACACAATAATGTATCAAGTTGAATGGATGCATCCAACCCACGTATATAAATGTCGGAGTTATATACTCTTTTGTTTTTAGTATAAATGATAGTTTAAATTATAAAGGAATGATTTCTTATACACGCACTCCGCGAGTACCATGAGATTCGAACTTGAAACCAGTAGTTATGCCCCGTTAGCTTGGAGTTATCTACTTTGTCAAGACGAATAGTTTTTATTTCTATTTCTATTTCTTTTTCTATTTCTTCGAGACTATATTTGAGTTGAGTGGTTGCATATTGCATTATGGATATATCATACATGCTCTTGCATCTTTGCTTCATAAATCTCACGAAATTTACTTACTGTGAGTGAAATGAAATGATGCCAAAAGCTTAGTGGACAGTGAATTTTTTGGTAAGCAGTAAAAATATTTAGCATAACAGTCTAACAGAGCAAAAAATATAATTGATTATGTCTTTTAGGGTTCACAATTTATCTTTCCTGAGTTGCTTCAAACCACCAATCCAAGAGACCCTGCCAGCAGAAATTGCTTATGTTTACACAGAGCACTGCAAGTCAACAGAAAAAGAAAAAAAAGTTTTTGTATAAAATCTATAAATAAAAACAAAAATATGGTTGCTGCAGCACACTGATTTAGGAAACTTGGGCCTCGGAGCAGTTCAAAAGCTCAGAACTGCAAAAGCAAAGTTCCTCCCAAGCTCATCTCAGAATGTGCCATGTGTTTGTGTTTGGTGTCTAAGAAAACATCAACTGCCAAGAAAACAAAAAAATGGAGACGAAACTAGAATTCCTACTGGACCACATGGCGCAGAACCAAAACAAAACGAAATATATAGCATCAGAGAAAAAAAAAGGTAAGAGATCACCATAAATAAATCTGCTAGAGAACAAAGAGTAACACAGTCCACAAGATTGCAACAGAAGACCAAATTCCAAAATCCCCATAAAAACCTCCAACCAGTTTCCTAGACACCGTGATATATATATATGTATTTTTTTTTTCTTTTTTCATTCAACCTGAAGTTTTGGCTTGGAGTTATCTACTTTGTCAAGACGAATAGTTTTTATTTCTATTTCTATTTCTTTTTCTATTTCTTCGAGACTATATTTGAGTTGAGTGGTTGCATATTGCATTATGGATATATCATACATGCTCTTGCATCTTTGCTTCATAAATCTCACGAAATTTACTTACTGTGAGTGAAATGAAATGATGCCAAAAGCTTAGTGGACAGTGAATTTTTTGGTAAGCAGTAAAAATATTTAGCATAACAGTCTAACAGAGCAAAAAATATAATTGATTATGTCTTTTAGGGTTCACAATTTATCTTTCCTGAGTTGCTTCAAACCACCAATCCAAGAGACCCTGCCAGCAGAAATTGCTTATGTTTACACAGAGCACTGCAAGTCAACAGAAAAAGAAAAAAAAGTTTTTGTATAAAATCTATAAATAAAAACAAAAATATGGTTGCTGCAGCACACTGATTTAGGAAACTTGGGCCTCGGAGCAGTTCAAAAGCTCAGAACTGCAAAAGCAAAGTTCCTCCCAAGCTCATCTCAGAATGTGCCATGTGTTTGTGTTTGGTGTCTAAGAAAACATCAACTGCCAAGAAAACAAAAAAATGGAGACGAAACTAGAATTCCTACTGGACCACATGGCGCAGAACCAAAACAAAACGAAATATATAGCATCAGAGAAAAAAAAAGGTAAGAGATCACCATAAATAAATCTGCTAGAGAACAAAGAGTAACACAGTCCACAAGATTGCAACAGAAGACCAAATTCCAAAATCCCCATAAAAACCTCCAACCAGTTTCCTAGACACCGTGATATATATATATGTATTTTTTTTTTCTTTTTTCATTCAACCTGAAGTTGACACGTATAGGACTTTATATATACATGCATGAAAACAATTCACTGTGGAAACTTATAATTTTGAGTATAAATTAGAGCCAGTCTTTCAACTGGTCCTCAATGCCAGGCCACTTTCTTCTTCTCTCTCGTTTGCTAGCTTTTCTTAAAAGTGCTTTTTGGTAATTTTCTCAGAGCAAAGACATGGAGCCAATTCACTGGTTTATGGTCCTATGGATCACATTGAGTCTAATGCTCTTCCAAAACTCAAGCAACGTGGAAGGGAGATATCATTTCCACAAGAGGAACAAAAGCTCCCCTGCTCCTTCCCCTGAGACTGGAGAGCCAGTTGCTCCTTCAACCCCAAGCCTCAGCCCTCCTCCTCTTCCAAATGTGCCCTCAGACCCTTACCCTGAGGACCCTGGAAATAATTCTTCTGGTTCTTCAGATTGTGTGTTCAATGTCATGAATTATGGGGCAGTTGGTGATGGCTCTGCTGATGACACTGCTGCATTTAGAGCGGCTTGGAAAGAAGCCTGTGCTGTAGAATCTGGTGTGGTTTTCGCTCCTGCAGATTACAGCTTCAAAATTACTTCAACCATCTTCTCAGGTCCTTGCCAGCCTGGACTGGTATTCCAAGTAAGATTTTTTTTAAAAATTTTAAATTTTTTATTACACAAATGTCTTGTGTGTTCTAAAATAAGTTCATCTACCTGTCAATGACAGTTGTTGATTAATCAAAATAATTGAAAACGAAACGACCCCATTTTGGGTTTGGTTTAAAACGTCTATATAAGTACAATTATCAACACAAAAAACACTAGTAAAGTGGTTAATAGCAATTACTTCTATACCAAGAGGTCCTTTTCGAATCCCCCTCTTTAATATCGCTTGTGTCTTTAAAAAAAAACAGCAGGAAGGGATCCAAACTCTTAAAACTACATTGCTGGGAAATTTGGTTCATTAATTAATTTTCTAAAATTGGGAACTAAGGTTCAAATGTGAAACAGGTAGATGGGATTCTGATGCCGCCGGAGGGGCCTCAGACTTGGCCTAAAGGAGACAGCCAAAAACAGTGGCTTGTGTTTTACAGACTTGACCAAATGACTTTCACTGGGAGTGGAACCATTGAAGGCAATGGCCAAAAGTGGTGGGCTCTCCCATGCAAGCCTCACAGGGTAATTTAATTCACCAAGCAGCTGGTCCTATCTTTTCTTTTCCTTTCTTTTAATTTTATTTTTCATGTAAACTTTTTGGTTTTTAAATGCCAATATTAACTCTGATCTTATTACTACTTCAGGGTCCTAATGGATCCACATTGCCAGGACCATGTGACAGCCCTGCTGTAAGTAAAATTACCCACAGTCAAATTCAAGCAGCAGTTATAAATGTGTTGTAAAATTCAGTCATGGTAACTTGTTCTTCTTGTTTTTTTTTTTGAATTGTTCAGTTAATTAGATTCTTCATGAGCAACAATTTGGTGGTGAGAGGGTTAAGAATCCAAAACAGTCCTCAGTTCCACATGAAGTTTGATGGCTGTGAAGGTGTACAGATTGAGAAGCTGTCCATTTCCTCACCAAAGCTTAGCCCCAACACAGATGGGATCCACATAGAGAACACAAAATCTGTTGGCATATATGACTCTATGATTAGCAATGGTAAGAAAACGGAAAATGTTTATTTTTAATTTCTTAAATTACCTTTTGTATTATTATGTGTTAATTATATATAATTAATTGATAATTAATTTGGCATGATTTAAACAGGTGATGATTGCATTTCAATAGGAACAGGCTGTGCCAATGTTGATATAAGAGGTGTCACTTGTGGGCCAAGTCACGGGATTAGGTATAATATTCTCTCTCAATAAATTTCTCTCTTTGGTTGCCACCTACCAATTACCATCCGTTTTGAGTCCAAAAGTGCCCTTCTTAACTTCTTCGGCAAAAAGGTTGCTTCTCATTTGGTAATCACTCTAACAGTTTGATGGGCCTTAACTTTACCTTTTTTCGAACAAAAACTTTTTTCTGAGTTCCACATAGTCAAAATAGAAAAACAGTTTCTTGAACGAGTAATGTTAAAAAGATCACATTTTCAAATTGCATTATGTGACGAACGAAATAAATCCTATTTACCATATACAAGATGATCAATTAATCTGGTAACTCCAGCTAGTATTACCCGGTTTCAATTAGTTTTCAAATGCTTCCTAAATCGCCATTAATCACATTCTATTTTCTGCAGCATTGGGAGCCTTGGTGTGCACAACTCCCAGGCATGTGTTTCCAACATAACAGTGCGTGACGCTGTCATAAGGGAGTCCGATAATGGAGTCAGAATCAAGACATGGCAAGGCGGGGCGGGCAGCGTATCGGCCATACTATTCGAGAACATTCAAATGGAGAATGTGATGAACTGCCTACTAGTAGACCAATATTACTGCCTATCAAAGGCTTGTCGGAACGAAACTTCAGCAGTTTATGTCACAGACTTGACATATAGAAACATAAAGGGCACATATGATGTGAGGATGCCTCCAATTCACTTTGCCTGCAGTGACACAGTGGCTTGTACAAACATCACACTCTCAGAAGTTGAGCTTTACCCACATGAAGGAGAGTTGATGGATGATCCATTTTGTTGGAATGCTTATGGGACTCAAGAGACAGCCACTATACCTCCAATTGATTGCTTGCAAGATGGAGATCCTGAGAGTGTGGCTGAGATGTCCCAGTATACTTGCTAGGGTAAAATTTAATTTACTTTTGGGTTGGGTTATTTCTATATTTATAGTAAAATTTACTGTTTTACTGTATAGAGCCCAAGAGCCATTTATCTGATATGGGTCTTGAAGTTTATTACTTAGGCTCCCATCCCTATTTGGGTTTTCCCCCTTATTGTGTGATGATGTGATTTACCATTTGGGTCTTCTTTTTTGGCCCTACAAATATTGTAATGAGATTGGGTGCTTACATGTATTGGCATTATATGGATAATGGATTTTTAGTAATAGTTAAGAATTTCATAGGGACCTGAAGGTTGTACGTTTAATCAACCCAATCTTTGGGTTCTAGCCTTGTCCATTAGCACCATGTCAACAAAACATGTTCCACAAGCATCCAACCGGATCAAATTTGCCCTTAAGTTTTAGGTCAAGTGATGTGGTTAGTTGTGTAGATAAATGGTGGGTGATGTTATTTTGTCAGACTTATAATGCAAACAAAATTGTATTATTATACTGTAAAATCTATGTCACACGTTCAAATAAGAACTTATGTAATCGATAGTCCAAAATTTAAATGTTCCCGATAAATAAATTCTCAAATTGAAGTCTTGATTTAAGCCAAAAAGAAAATTAAAGGCTCAAACTCAAAAGGGATGATATTAGGGAAAAAAAATACATTAAAAACAAAAAAACGAAGAATAAAATGCATGACTGGCCAACATGGTCTAGTCGAGTGGAATTGACTTGCAGACTAGTAATCTCAGATTCGAACCCCATGACACTTTGGTAGTGTGTGTGTGAGAGATTCCTCATCCCTCGGTACTAGATTATCGCTTGTTCAAAAAAGAGAAAAAAACAGACAGCTGTACGACATGTCGTATGTATTGAGATAACCTTGTATTAGCACGACCCAACGACGCAAATAGTCAAAGCATTTCCGCTGCAGCAGTCGAATTGAGTTTTGCCGTTGGGCCCTAAGTCACCGACTCACCCTCACACAGTCGCAGGTAACAAACTCATTCTGTCTCTGCCGCTTCCACCGATTTCGATTCTCTGGCATACGTATTTTACATCTTCCTGATATTGATCTATGCATTTCATTGTTTCATCGCGGCATGCTTGAATTTGCCCGCAAGGTGTTCGACAGTTTGCCTCTGTGAATTACTGCATTGCGTGCCGATCATAAATCCATAATATTTGACTGTGTTGATTGTGATTGGGATTTTTGTACAGGAAAAATAAGAACATGCCGTCTCTGCAAACCGCACTGCCTCCTGAGCTCGCGAATAATGTGATCAGAGTTAGTATCGGAAAAGTCTTGATTTCCTCACTGTTTATATCCAAAAATTTAATCATTTTGCTTGCCATTTTTTGAGCTTAAATGATCGTTTTTCGTTGTAGCTTTACCGCGAGTGTCTACGAAGAGCTAAATATGTTGGTCATCGGGTATGCAAAGTTCTCTCTCACACACACCCACGCACATCTTTTTCTTAGTGAAAAATTGTGTTTGTTGTTATTTCTCAATGAGATTTTAGTCAGTTCTTAAGAAGCAATTGTCCCAGATTTTTTAAGGAAATGCATCTTCCCTGATTTTAGGAAATTGATCAAACAAATGCAGCATAAATGTACACTCTAACAAAATCTATCCAAACTTATTGAAATTGAATTTGGGTTCTTGTTTTGTTAATGATGCAGCAACACAATACGGAACTTGTGGTTGATATGGTGCGGCAGCAGTTCAAGAAACATATGCTTGAGACAGATCCAGAGAAGATTCAAAAGTTGAAGGATGAGTAAGTATATTTGATTGTTTTCTCAACTCTCATTTTCGACTTTTTTGTATATCATGTTTCATGGGTTGATTTGAAAGCTAATTGATGACCAGTTCTTCAAATAATGTGCACAAAGACCTTCATACAATGCATTTCTTATTCAAGTTTCTTGATGGAATCTTTGTAATTCAAAATTTTAATCTGTCTTCCTTGATTCTCAGTGCCGCAAGGGGACTTATAAATCATATACTATTCGAGTCGGAGAGGCTGTCTGGTCGTAAATTCAGCAGCTCTTGATGTCAAGGTTTTCAGTTTTCTTTCTGAGGTTCCAGTTTGTTGTATTGGGTGAATTTTTGGCAGCAAAATAAGTGATACCGTCGATGTAAGCTTTAATGCTATATTGCCTTTTTATGAAGTGTGAATGCTTGGTTTCTTTGGAAGTTGTTGAAGTGGCCTTTCTGCTGCATACCAAACAAAGAAACAAACTATAAACCTGTGCAAGCGGGAATTACCAATTTGCTATCCCAACTTATAATCAAATCATCATATGTTTCTAATTCCTGTTAAAATTTTGAGGAAAGCTGACGGTCGATGATGTCGGTCAACGGCTGAGCAAGACTCTGACATTTTTATGAGAGATGTTAGAGACAATGTTGCCATATTTGATAGGAGAGGAACTTCTCCAGCTGCTACCTTGCAAGTTCTCCCAAGATAATTTCATAAAAATCAGCCACTAAACATGCACGGCATACAATCAGGCAAAACAATAGTAATGAGTAGCCAAGTGACCTACACTGCTCGTGAAGTTATGTAGAAAAAGTTTCCCACTGAGGTCCCAAGTCAAATGCTGTGAAAACTACAACACAACATCATTTGATTGCAAGTGAAAACTAGGGACCTCATATATGCTTCAATCATGCAAAGGCGGAACCATGAATTTTTCAACGGGTGGGCTAGCTAAAATTTTTGGTGAAAAAAAAGTATACATTAAATCATATAAACCATGCAATTCATAGCTACATTGACTAATTTCTAATAAGAATTAACATAAAACAGATATATATTAGATGCAATAAAAAAACATATTATCAAAATGAATATATGTCTAACAACATAATTAAAAGTGTACCTATTGTATGGGTCTTTTTGTTCCAGCAGCCTGACGAATGGGCTTGGGCTGCTGTAAGAGGAAGACAAACAAAATTCCCCAGTGCCTGAGTTCAAAAACCAGGCTCCCAAAAGAGTTTAGAAAGATTTGCTGAAACCTTAGAAAACAATTTTAGGTTCTTTGCACCGATAACCAGATGAACGTAACAAATTGATAAGTGACTTGGCTTGAGGAGCTTGTGGCATGGGAGCTAAGCCTTCACAAGTTTAGCAATTTGAGAGAGAGAGAGAGAGAGAGGAGCGTGAACTTCTTACAGAGAGAAAAGGTTCAGAGTGGGGGAAGAGGAAAATTAGGAGGATTTCTATCTCAGAAAGGGAAAAAACAATGGAAGTAGAAGATATGGTGTCTAGAGTAAATTTCCAGTTGCTTGACAAAGCTTGGTCACGCTCTGGATGATGATCTTGCTGGGTAGAGAAAGCTCCCTTTTATAGGTGGTTAGAACCCTAATTCTAACGATCTTCCATTCCCACTTTTCCTTTGCTTCTTTCCATTCACTCCTTTTTGGTGAAATCTCTTCAACCAGAGCGCATGGGTCACAGGCTCTTTGGAGTTCCAAGGTTTTCTATGCGGCTGGACCTCCCCATGGAGGTGAGGCACCACCTGCTTTCTTCCTTGGTTTTCAAATTAGAGCTCGCAGAGGAAAAAGAGAATGGATAGAGTCGTTTGTCCAATGGGTATTCTTCCTACACATATGGATTTCCTTTGGTTCCTGAAATGGCTTATCGTTGACTGTTATGGAGCTTTGACAAGGGTGGAATACGATGCTAGATTTTTTAACAAGGCGCTGGGCTGGGCCTTGTTTACAGTATCGGGTTATTGGTACTCTCTTTCCAGCGGCCTGCGTGTTTTCGTCAAGCTGCTGGAAGTAGCTTATTTGCTTTAATTTGGGCGTTTTAACTAACGTGAGGTTGTCTAAGTGTGGCAGCAGACTATGAGATGTTCTCCTAAGGCATTGGATCACTTTTTTCCCTATCTCATGCTAACCCATGTGTTTGGGCCCGAAGAATGGGCTTGAGTTTTAGTGCTCCCAAGTGGCCTAAAACTTTCATTCCTTGAACCCTTAATGGGCCCTGTGAGTGCTCGTACCCGTCCACACCACAACCTTTTCAGCAAGCCCCGGGTAATTACATGGCTTGGGCCGACTTAAGCCTGTAGCACGGCATGGTATTAGAATAGCGGTCCTTTACATGGCATTATGTGTTTATTCAGCATGCTTGTGCTTAAGTTCCATCATGCCACAATAAGCTATGATCGGGCCAGGTAGCATTGGATAGGTTAGTGAGCGTGAATTTATAGAGCCGGTGCGTATTGGCCCCCTTTGCGTGGCGGGCATGCACGTTTGCTTGGCGTCACACGTGGCACATGGCTTGTGCAGGTGCGCCCTATGAGTTCCCTTATGTCCCAATTGGGCCCCTTTTGTAATCAAATATTTGTGCTGGGCTAGGAATAAACTTGGGCCCAACCCTTGGATTTTTGGGTCTCAACATTAGCCCTCTTGATTATTGGGGCCATGAACAAATATTGAGATGAGCCAAATAATCAAACCCAACCCAAAAGGAAAACCAAATCCACATTGGTAATATGACCTTCTCGTTTCCCGCGTGTGTGTTGATGCCATGATTATCTCCCAGTAGTCTTTTACGTTCCCTAGGTAAGCGTTCCATCAAAATCTGATTTATTTACCCTATTTTCTTTTTTTCCTTTTCTTTCTTTCTTCCCCTTTTCCTCATCTTCTTTCTCCTATGCGTGCAGACTCAAACCCTCTCACCTATCTCTCTTGATTTTTTGCTGGTTCTTCGTCGTACCCATATTTAGAGGTTCCTCGGTGACAAGAAAGTGTTGAAAGGTGCCATTCATAACTGCTAGTCAGTGAATCGTGAAGAAACCGTTCGCACCCACTGAGAGGAGCAATCGTTTGCCTTTAAAAATCCCAAATTTTTTGGGTTTCCCCTTCAATTCATCCAAGGCCAGACTTGACGAGGTCACTTCGCAGAGCGTGAGGCATCTTGGAGAGAAAATCACAAAGCAGTTCCCAATCTCCTTCTCTTCTCTCTCAATTTGGCAAACTGCTGGAAAAGGCACAAGGGAGAGCAGTGGTAAGCGTCGTTCTTCTCTTTGTTGCATGTTTGTTTAATTTCTTGCACCCATCTTTGTAGCTTGAATTTTGGATATGAACCACCGATTAGGGATTTTTAGGTACTGATCGGTTCATAATTGTATATCATTTTGTACCCTTCTAGCTTATGATTTGGTTATGTTTTTGAGTTAAACTTGTGCTTTTAATCCTTTTTGTGTTTATCTTTCAGCTTTAGGTAACAATGATGGCTTTGGATAGGAAATGATGCAATCCATGCATGTTAAAGCCTGATTTGGATAAAGGGAAGAAGTGCTTAAAGACAAACTCATTTTGGCTACAGCCCCCTGCCAGTCCAGTTTCGTAGGTCATATTGCAAGCTTTGTTTCAGCAACCTACATAGCTCAGATTAGGCCACATTCTTCATGAAAGTTGTTCCAATGGGTGTGTAATATAACATATCCAAAATTCAGCCCCATTGGAGAAATCTGGAGTCCGTTACCTAGCAAACACAGAACCATACTCAGGATGGAT